AAAAATGGAGGTCTCCCCAAAAAAATACCATGGGTTCCAATACAAATTCGTGGTCTAATGATGTCTACTTGGATGATTTGGGGTACCCCCATGACTTTGGACATGTGTAAATGTGCATCATATTGCAGGGATTGGTAAATGTCCCATTTTGGGTATATTGGACACCTTATAGTAGCCATTATAGACCATATACCTAATGGTTGGGTGATGTTCAATGGGGACATTTAATGACCCATGTCTTGTCATTAAGTTTATACATGTTGGTTTTCAGGAGTGTCCAGCCATGGGTCCGATGCGAAATGTTGCAGCATCCCAGCAGGGAGTAGGCTTGGCTCCTGGGTAAGGTCACTTGCTGGAAGATTAGTCTCTGGTAATTTGTTACATAGCAACATAGAAAATGGCCATAGAAATAGTTGATTTACCCAGCTAAAAAATGGTGGTGTTCCAGTTCGCCATGTGGCTGTTTACCAGAGGGTATCACTTACAACTTGGATATTCCATGGGACATTTGACATATAAGGGTGTTTGAATATGAGGTAATTGTAGCCTCCCATTTCTGCTATGGCTGCTATGGTGAGAGGGAACATGCTGGTCAGTGAAATTGGGCTCTCCCTGAATTTTCAGGGACCAAAATTATCAGTTTAGGGGAAACTATAGGATAGATGTGGAAAACCTATGAAAACCTATGGTTTTTCTATAGGAAACTCTACTTAAAGATGGTTGGGTCTTCCACATCCCCCAAGGCCCCGTGGGCCCTTCTCCTCGCTGTGCGCTGCATTGCGGCGATTTGGCCGTGGCGGGGAAGGACGGGATTTTCCTGGGATTTTCATTGGATTTTGAGACATTCAAGTTGGTGGTGCCCCAGTTCGTTAGCTAAGTTGGTTTATAACTCCAATAACTATGGTTTATGGTAGATATAACTATAGTTAATGGGGTTTTTAAACCAACTTATAACTATGTGGCACCACCTTGTTGTAATGGGAAATGCATGGAAGTCAATATTATGTGATGAGATGTTCTGTGCTTTTTCATGGGATTTAATGTTTTTGTTTTTTTTCAAAGTTGTTTGGGTGTCATGAGATTTTAAGATATTTTTTTGAGGATGGATAGATGCCTTGTGCCGCAATCTCGCAGGATCCTCGCGTCGTCCTTTGCCCACGGACAATGATGGGCGAAGCGCGGCCGCCGTTCCGTCCTCAGTTCCGGGGAAGTGTCTGGGGTCACTGGAAGTTATCTCCTTTCATACCTCGAACCTCTAAGTAGAAAAATATGAAAAATTGGGCAACATTGGGGCAACATCATGCAAGATACATTTTACATAATATATATATATATATATCCGATAAATTTATCTATCTATTATAGTGCATGATTGTGGGACTTCTGCCGATTTGTATAGGAGCAATGACTTGGAGGATCTAAGTAGATAAGAGTGCCAAGCAATATCTATTGAAACAACGCCCATAAAATAGGGGATGCCTTGGGATATAGTGAACATTTAATCAACATTTAAATGACTCATTTGACGAGAATTTTGTCCAGAAACATTATGAGATTCGTTTGAAATTTGGGGGGCTGATCTCCCGACGAGATGGCGACAGAGAGAGAGAGAGAGACACTCTGAACAAAAACCCATACGCCGTGGAATTAGAAATTTAAACCCCGAACGTGTCCTTTAGAATGTAATCTTTCGGATCCCATTTTTCATGTTGTGGAGGGGCGTAAGTTCAGTGGTAAGTCTAAGTTAAGTGTAAAGTTAAGTGTAAGTCAGTTTGGGTCACTGAGAGTTCTTTGGTTTCATGTAGCAAGCGAGTCTTTATCACGGCTATCTATGGAAAATCACCATTTTCAATGGGTAAATCAACTTTTTCTATGGCCATTCTCAATAGCGTTTTGTATGTTTACCAGAGGGTATTTATCCCAATGACTGTTGGCCCAGACATCGTCAGAAAATTTACCGGAGGCCACCATTTTGGAGGGATTTGATTTTCTATCCAAAAAGTACCCATGAAATATTCCAATCTAAATTGGGGGTACCTATCATAAAATACAATACCCTCTGGTAATTTAACATAGCCGTTGAAAATTGCCATTTATAGTTGATTTACCCAGTAAAATGGTGATTTTCCATAGTGATGTTAGTTTACCGGAGGGTAATGTATATATATATATAAGGTCCATTTAAGGCTAAATTTCGCGGGATATACCATCCAAAATATACCAAAATATGGCTAGTTAACCGTACTGCCAGATTAAGTACCTGAAATGGCCATTGACCACTATGATACAAGTTCAGGTTGTATAGTGACATATTATGCTATACATGGACTACGATTAGTATTGGGTGACTGTTCATTAGTTAACCTTGGTTGATTAATGAACCCTGGTTTTCAGAACTCGGTGATTATTAATACTCATAAAACAATTCTTTACACTATCCTGGTTTCAATCGATTTGCATTAATCAGTAATGGTGGGCACCCGGGTATTTCACATAGCGAACATGGCCCATATCCCATGACGGATCCATGGTGCTGGTATATGCTAACATGACTGTGGTATATTGATGGGACCTATGTTACCTTTAATATAGCAGCACCATGGATCCTATGGGTATATAGATGATTTATGGTGCTTTACCCATCAACCATGGTTGCCATGGTTGTCCAGCCCCCGAGCCGCGGACCTCCAAGGCCCCACAAATGGCCCCACAAAGGCCCGTTCAGAGCTCCCTGCGTTCGCAGCGTCCCTTGGGCATTTGGAGAGTCGAAGAATGGGGTCCCATTCAGCAACAAGAAGTGGATATAGTGATGGTGATATATGATATTAGTGGTTGGTGGTGCTTTGGAACCATGGATTTTTTTTTGACTTTCCCATCATTTTGGGAATATATAATCATCCCAACTGAGGAAGTCCATCATGTTTCAGAGGGGTTGGCAGCAAGCACCAACCAGTATTAGTATGTTATAGCGGAATGTGATATTTTAGTATGGTATATCCACTATTAGTATTATAATATATATATATACTGGTTGGTGGTTTGGAACATTTTTTAATTTCCCATAATATATGGGATAATCCTTCCCATTGACTTTCATATTTTTCAAGATGGTTATTGCACCACCAACCAGTAGATGTTGTGATGGTAAGATATCACCAAACAAGAAGTAGTTCATGGGCAAAATGAAAAGTTTGATGGGTTTTTCAACAAAAGTTTCTATCATTTCATCATTCTTACTTTGATATAACCTAAGATATCCCTTATATCATAGAATTGGATGATGGGAAAATTTACAGGAAAACCCGATCAATTTGATGGTAAAAACCCATGGGTTTCCGGTTAAGATTTTCCCTTAAACCAATCCAATGATTATAATGATGAATGAAGGTTTCCTGGCTGAAACAAAAAATCCTGTTTGGGTTTCACTGCAGGATCATCCAGCCCTGGGGCTGAAAAAAAGTATATTAGGGCCATGAATAGCCGTGATTTTTAAGTTATATCACGTTTAAATCATGAACAATATAAGTATAATATAAGGCATATATATATATACATGGGTTTATTTATGTGTTTAATATACCGTCCTCAGATATTATAGGCCAGTACTAGACCAACGGTTCCGACGGGGTATTTCATATTAGAGGACATAATATTATACGGATCGCCCAACCCAAATATATACGAGGTGGTGCCCCTCCAAGTTTACAGTATAAGTTCCATCCATAAGTATAGATGTCTATCATGATTTATTTGCCATAAACCAGCAAAAAACCATAAATCAGTACCCTAGTTTCTATATATATATATATCATGTATATTTGTCATAGATACCCACAGAAACCCATAAATTATGACCCTAGTTATGAGCCAGCTTAGCTATGCAAAGCCACCCGAGGTGAGAGAGGTGACCGCATGCGACAGTGGGAACCCAAGAGTTGGGCCGCCTTTCAATTTATGGGTTCCGAAAATTGAGGTACCCTCTGGTTATGACTAACGTAGCCATGGAAAATCAACATTTTTGATAGGCAAACCATATAAATGGGCCATCTATACCATGGCTATGTTAAATAACCAGATGGTACCCCTAAACCATCCATGTTTTTCAGCATTGTCCATAAAAAAAAAAAAACATCCAACTATTGGGGTATCTCCAATTTGTGGAAACCCCCATATATATATAACGTAGGTGATCAAGAATATCAGTGATGACATATATTTGGTCAGTGCTTTGTCAATATTATATTATATATATAATTGTATCCACCATGTCATTGTTTTTCATCAACATGCCTTGTGTTTTAGGTTCCATGTCAGAATTAAAGGGTGTACTGAACAGGAACCGCCCAAGACTTTGGATCTGAAACACATGCGGAAAAGATACGGGAGATTTTTGATGTTTTTTGCTGAGCAACCTTTTTGGGATGTACAAGGTTGACTTGTTCTTTACATGTTTTTAGCGTACATCAAAAGGGTAGGAATGCCCCAAACTCATGGTTTGTGAGATTCAGCTAGACCATGTTTGTGGAAAAAAAATGAGATTCCATGTTGTGGACACGTGGGTTGGCAGATTACAGAACTTTAAGATGAACACATTTGGCAGACTATTCCGATCAGGCGTGC